TGGGAGGCTGAGGCAAGAGAATCGCCTAAGCCCAAGAGCTGGAGGTTGCTGTGAGCTGTGACACCACAGCACTCTACCAAGGGCAACAAAGTAAGACTCTGCCTCTAAAAATAAAATTTCAAAAAGATTGAGTATATATTTATTTATACTCTTAAAAGATTATGGAGAAAGTATTTTTTTCTAACTTTGTATTTCTTTTTTTTCTTTTTTTTGAGACAGAGCCTCAAGCTATCACCCTGGGTAGAATGCCATGGTGTCACAGCAACCTCCAACTCCTGGGCTTAAGCAATTCCCTTGTCTCAGCCTCCCAAGTAGCTGGGACTACAGGCATCTGCCACAATGCCCGGCTATTTTTTGGTTGCAATTGTCATTGTTGCTTGGAAGGCCCAAGCTGGATTTGAACCCACTAGCTATGGTGTATGTGGCTGGCACCTTAGCTGCTTGAGCTACAGGCACTGAGTCCTAAATTTGTATTTCTATCTATATCAAATTTTTAGGGGTATATTTATTTCTTTACTATTTTCCCTCTGGAGAGGGTTTATCAGGAGCTATAAAAGTGGTACCAGGATAATGAGCAGAATTTATACTTATCAAATGGATTAAAATAGTGATAAACAGTAATAAAAACTGTATTATGACACTGTTATTCAGGTAACTTATAGTAAAGGTATTTAAGATTTTGATAAAAGGTATATTCAATTTACAGAAAAGAAAATACAAATGAGATCCTTAACTTCACATATATTAAGATAAATGCAAAAACCACACCAACATTATTTCTTACTTTTCACACTGCGAAGATGGAAAAGTTTGACAACAGTTTGCTGAGTACGGTGGTCGTGGAGGTGCTCCACTCTTCCCACCTCTCCCCTTCAAGAGAGCTTGCTCGGAGAAGCAGGGTTGACTACCAGCCGTCTGCTACCCCATCTTTGGAAGTCACATCCTCACACCAAGGCCTTGCTTCCCCACGCTGCTCCCAGCCATTGACTGGGCATGGAAGGGATGCTGGAACAAGGCCAGCGTCAGCAGGGGTTTCCTTTAAAGGGAACGTTGAGCCTGACTGACAGTTTCTCAGAATTGTGCTGTGGTCGGAGGCTCTTCATAGTCGATCTCTTTCCTTCCCTCTCCTTCCCTACACTGAGGTCTGAACGCTGTCTATGCCCACTCCTCTTCCCTCCCCCTTAGTTTTCCACAAATCTTTCCCTCAATAAAACTCTTGCACATCATATCTTATCTCTTGCTTGGAAGACCCATGAGTGCGTGAGAAAAGGCACTCTCAGCTACTTCTAGAGAAGTGGAAATTGGTATAACATTTATGAGAACCATTTATCAATATTTTGTTTTGAAAAATTGCAGTCCTCTTCTTCCCCACAATCAAACAACGACTTTCAAATTATTCAGGTGAGCCCTTTGCTATTTGCTTTCATGTCACCAAGTAACATGCTTATAGAGCTTTATCTTGATTTTTTAGTTTTAAGCCTTAGAAGATGAGAATTTAGCTCTCTTTTCTTCCCACCTTCACCATTTCCATCAACTATGCCCATCACCCCATTGTCACTATAGAGAAATGATAAAACTAAGACAGCAACTTTTAGGAGGATGGAAAGAACGTGCATTATATAACTGCATATGACTCTCATAGCTGAGCCTTACAGTAAGCTGTGATTTTCCTTTCCTGCCCTTTCCATTCTCCTAAAAGTTGCTGTCTTATTTTATCAGTTGCTTAGTTTACTATGTACTTATAAAAAATACAGTATCCCGAGCTCCCTGCCAATTGTCTAAGTCTCCTTAGGCACTGGCATGAGAGATACCCTATCATCATCATCATCATCATCTTAGAGAAATCTTTTTTCACTCTACCCTCAGACCTTACCGACAGCTAATTAGGTACAGAATTCTAGATTGAAAATCCTTTCTTCAGAAATGAAAATATTATACCACTGCCTTTCTAGCTTCTAAAATTTCTTCTGTTAAGATATTTGGCTCAGCTTGGCGCCTGTAGCACAGTGGTTATGGCGCCAGCCACATACACCAAGAGTGGTGCGTTTGAACCTGGCCCAGGCCAGCTAAACAATGACAACTCCAACGAAAAATAGCTGGCGTGGTGGCGGGTACCTGTAGTCCCAGCTACTTGGGAGGATGAGGCAAGAGAATCACTTAAGCCCAGGAGTTTGAAGTTGCTGTGAGCTATGACGCCACAGCACTTTACCCTGGGTGACATAGTAACACTCTGTCTCAAAAAAAAGAAATCTGATCCTTTATATCTAATCTATTTTCTTTTTTCTGAAAATTTGTTGTATTTTCTCTTTCCAGTTCTGACACTTTCCAATAAAATGCCATTTTCACCTATAATCCTGGGCATTGGATGGGTCTTTTCCATCTGAAAAGGTATGGCTTCAATCTTGTGGTTTTTTGTTTGATGACTTCTTGGGGTTTTTTGTTCTCTTTTTAGAACTCCTTTTATCCAGAATTGTACCTCCTAAACTAGTCCTCTAATTTCCCTATCTTTTCTCTAATATTTTCAAATTCTTTACTTTTTTGTTCTTCTTTCTTAGAGATTTTTCTCAATATTATCTTCTTTTTTTTTTTGAACTTTTTTTTTTATTGAATGGTAACTATGTACATTAATGCACTTCTGGGGTACAGTGTGGGGTTTTCACATGCAATCTGAAATACTTCCATCAAACTGGTCAACACAGCTCAACATTATCTTCTAACCCTTTTATTGGATTTTTAAATTTTGATTTCACATTGTCACTGCATAAGAGCTGCTTTTTTTCTAAATGGTTATCTTTATAATATCCTATTATTGATTTACAGATGTTGCATTTTTCCACAACTCTGAGAACTGAGATTTTTATTCTCCTTTGGTTTTCCTCTTCTGCATTATTCTTGTTGGATTTATCTGTTTGTTTAGTTTTGCCTTTTTCTTTTGTGTTAGGGATTTTTTTCAGATATCTGGTGATCTTTTGTTATCATCCCATGTTTTAAAAAGGGGCTCTCTGAGGCTACAGAGAAGTTTTGAGGGCTAGAGGGAGCCGCCAATGAAGGCTATTAATGCAAGGTAGTTTGGCCAAGTCATTTTCCATTGGCAACTCTCTGATTTCTGAACCTTTATTTTTTTTTATCTTGAGCTGGTCAGGTTATCCAGAGACAGATTGTCCAATCTGCTTCCTAGATGGTTTAAAAATGGCTGCTAGCAGGCGGTGCCTGCGGCTCAGTGAGTGGGGCACCAACCCCATATACCAAGGGTAGCAGGTTCGAACCTGACCCCAGCCAAACTGCAACAAAAAATAGCCAGGCATTGTGGTAGGCGCCTTAGTCCCAGCTACTCGGGAGGTTGAGGCAAGAGAATCTCCTAAGCCCAAGA